AAAATCAACCGACTCGTGATCGGTGTTAATATTTATCAAAGCACTGTCTTCTTCCCCTTGTAGCCGTTCCCATTCCAAACTGCAGGTACCCCGTTGGTTCGAGCGCGCGTTGGAAAGAAAAGGACGAAGAGGGTGGATAAGGAGGAACGAAGAGGGAGAATTATGGAAACTGCTGCAATGACACCTAATTAAATTCAGCATTATGGCCCAATATCGGGCTGTCTGGCGTCTCTATTCTAGTTCCTAGTTCACCCTAAAATGCCAGATAAAGCGATATGAAGTTAAGAGTAGAGAATTAGGTGAGTTCCCCTGGGGTCCATGTATACGTGTAACGTAACGATATTCTCTACTTTGAATGTACTTCAATTACAACATTCCGACTTGCAGGATTCTACGTTTCTACTTATTCAGGGAAATGCTCCGTGAAATTACTATCCCTGTACACACTTCCGTAAAATTCAATTCTGCGAACGCGTAATAAGAAAACTTGGTACACAGATAAGTTCGACGATAATTAACGACGCTTCTAACGAGTCCCATGGAAACCGAAACTTAAATATCTCGCTTTAATCGTTTATATCACTTTCGAACTGTCACCGTGGAACGCGGATGCGTCGAAGGTATAAGCGCGCATAATTGAGAAATTTCCAGAGTTGAAGATATTCACGGGAAAGGATTTCGTGGAGGCGACGAGTACCGGTATTAACCGGGGGGCTGGACGAGATTTGATTTATCGAGAATTTGCAAAAGGGGAAAAAAGGGAAGCAAGTCCGTAACTAACCGGACACAATCCGGAAACGACCGAAGGCGAATAGAACTCTTAGTATCCTATCGGAGGTTTCGCCGGCCTCTCGAACATCAATATCGGACAAGATCAGAACTTAAGGCAATTGCGCACTGATACAACAAAGGGCATCGTCTAACGCGGTTATACCTCGTAAGCGAAATTCTATTGCTATATCCCATCTCCAGCGTCTATATTGGCCTCTCTCTGAGAACACAACTGTTCTCTCATCCCGTTCTTCTCATCATCTTCCTTCGTTTCGCTAGCCTTCTCTCTCTCCATCTTACCTCTACCCTCTTACCATCGTCCTTTCGCCAACTATCTTTCCCTTTCTCTTTCTCCTTCTCTCTATCAATACCGACCTAATCTACTTTACCAGCAAATAGTGTTCACGTTCCCCAGACAATGGTTTTCTCTTAGCTAGATACCCCCTACGCCGACACACCCCACCACCTCATCGCATTTATTCAATACATATAGCTTTTACTTTCTTATACCTCATGATTTACTTATGCGACACCAACGATAGGAAAAGAACATATCCGACGTCGTTTTCTGCCTCTAGCTACCTACCCCCAACGGATTGGGCTGGGGTATGACGATTTTCCATCGCGGAAAACTTCTTAAAATTTTAGTAATCGATTGTAAATACCATTAACGAGGATTCAAAGTGAGAAAAGAGTCGATAACAACGGTATACTCTATCTAATATTCTAGCTACCTACCCCCAACGGATTGGGCTGAGGTATGACGATTTTTCATCGCATAAAACTTCTTATAATTTTGGTAATCGATTACAAATACCGTTAACGAGGATTCAAAGTGAGAAAAAGGTCGATGTCAAGGCACTCTACCTAATGTTCCCAATTTTTAAATCGACCAAGAGCAGTAAGGGTCTAATCAGATTCCGCCATTTAATCATATCACAGACTTTCCTCTTTAAGACACCGCGAGAAAATTGCTCCAACTTCAACGACACAGACCTACTTCATCGACGACGATTCTCCACCTAATTGATTCCTACGAGCCTAGTGGATCCGCCAATTTCGACAAGTGTTAGTAAAATTAAACCGCTAGGTGAATCGAGCATTGATTATTACGAGGTCAAGTATCAAGCTTCCTTTGAAAGCCACATTACCCCCATCGCCCTCCCACGGGTTTGACAATCGAGTTCCTCAGACAATGGTACCGTTTCATCGTTTTCCACCCTGACTATGTTCAAACCTCGCTTCCTTCCCTATTCAGAGCATCCATGCGAATTTTGCGCTGTCGCGACATCTCGTCTTCCTGTTTCTGATTGATAATGCAACTTCCTGTCTAACACTGACGTATACGAACGTAAGTGACTAACTAAAAGGCTCGCGAAGACCAATCGCGAAATTTGATCAAGCACCGAGTGGCAAGGCGCGAAATCGAGGGGCGAAACGAGAATTTTCATTTTTCATTTTTTCGTGCAATTTAAAGAATTAATAAGATTTTGCCGAATTAATATTCCTTATTCCAAGTAACGCGATATTTAACACCAAATATCGTTCAAGTAATTTAATTCGATATGCAATACGAACGACAGTTATAAGGTTAAAATTGCTTTTCGAAATGAATATATTCGATAATGGACTTGCGTACTTCGATTGTTTATCGAGAAATATGATCAGAATTAATTCGTAATATTTTGAGGACATCTGAGAAGAAATTGTTGCTGTTTACGTATAAATCATGTTATTGCGTGAGTTAATCTGATGAAAGAATGGTTGGAGGAAAGGATGGTTGAGAATGAGACGTTTCAGAAAAATAGATTATGTTATGACTAATTTTTCAGATGCAATTAACTTCCATCGCAGCGAATAATTTACTACAATCTCAACTCGAAAATAAATTGATTACAGTAACGAAATTTTCACGTCACCGAGTCTACTCGTATATTTAAGACCGTTTAATTATGGTTGAAGATCAGTCAGCACGTTCGAGCGAAAGGATTTTACATGGGTGCTTAAAGATATTCGATTAAGTATTTTTGACGTCATAATCGGAATAAGATTATTGATATTTATGAAACTGTGTATGGAAATCTACGCACGGTTTCATAAATAACTTCAAAATAAATTTTCTCGGGTGGAAACTGGATGTTTCCGTATATTTATAGAAATACGCCATGCTTTTATTTTTAAGATGTTTACCCACGTTGCAACGAATCTACTCAGACGGAGATAAAGTACTACAATGTAATAAACAACATCAAAGTAAAGAATAAACGTCATTTCAAATTCAAGTTCTTGCGAAAGTTTCCTCGTACAACGCGAGGTGAGTGAAAGTAAATTAAAAGCATTTCCACTGTTTATAGCTCCGAATTAAATAATAATTGCTCCTTTTTAATTATAAAAAATAAATTATAAAATAGCTTGACAAATCGAAGAAAATAATTTATTCACAGAACACACGTATTTCGATAAATATCCGTACGAAACAACTTGTCCGAACTGTTTAAGTTACATAAGAACTAAAATTTACCATTACAATACTACTATAACACACGCTATAGCTGCGAGTCTGATTCCTGTTTGGTGAGTATACATTCGATAAAAATATTCAAATAAAAAAATTATTAAATTGGTGTCTTGAAAAAAAAAATTGCATTACAGCCTGTGCATACTACCGTATTGTATAAATAAATATAAGAATACTGCACATTATTGTCCACGATGCAAAATTTATTTGGGCACTAAATTTGCAGAAGGTAGAAATGTAATTCATTTTTGCACCGCGAATATAATCGACATTTAAAAAATCGACACCGGTATGTTTACAATAAAAATTACTAATTTTAATATCTACTACCTTAACTGTTATACTACTAACTATACTACTAATAATTAAATAATACTATATTATTAATTAAATAAAATATTCAAAAATAACGTTGTTGACATTTTAATGTATCAAAGAATATCTTTAAAAAAAATATGTGCTCAACGTATTCCATATATTTCATCAATAGAACTGTTAAAAGTTCTATTGTAGAATTCGTAAATGTAAAATTAATAGAAACTTGTAAAAAATGTATAATCATGCATATGTATACAAATTTTGCGCAGTTTCAATGAAATTTCTCAAATAATACTGATACTATTACATTATAGAAGTAGGATGTACTCACTTTAGATGACATAGCGAGGTTATAAATTGTCGTATCAATCGGCGACACCTATTGCTGCCACGATGATACCGTTTAATGTCGCCATAACGAAGGGCCGTATGCAAGTTGCATATGTAACCTGAAACAACAAGTAATAAAATAAAAGAATTTATCCTGCACTTTAGTTCTATCTCATTTCGTTTATTAGTAATTACCTTGCACTACTATTTCAGTTTCGATGCCGCGTGCCATAGTCGGCAGCAACACTGGTTACACATCGAACATAATCGAACGCGATCGAAACTTTTGTACAAACGCGGCGAAGAATAACACGTAACTGAGACAGAACACCGGCGAAAATTAACCACGAACTTGACCTATAATGTTTACGTGGGACCCTATCTACAAACCACGCCTCTCAGCTATTACACTCGTGTTTAGTCCTATTTCCTTCCTACGAGTCTCACACAATATTGTAGGCGAAAAGGTTAATATATAAAAGAATCTTAATTTCGCATGGAGTATTATCAGTAATACAGTGCAGCAAAGCAATTAACCTCGTATAGTGCTAAATAATACTTGAGATTATCATCTCAAATTATTATTTAATTATATCTTCAGTTCGTATATTTATTATATCTTAAGCTAGTTTCAACAATCAGAACATCTATAGTTTTTAGATTTTACAACTTAGCTATATCGCTCAAAGCAACTATACGTTTGAATTTCCAATATGGAATACAAATGCTTCGATTTGAATATTGCGCACTCAGCGAATATTGTACGCATTTTTGACGAAAAACGTACAGAATGTATGGAAAATTATTACAGAGTGTTGAAAACTGTTTTACAATATTAAATATTATTTCCACTCACCACGTTCTTGCAAATTTCAATAAATTCAGCAAAAAAGTTATATTTCATTTTTCTTGCGTGCTGAAAGTTCTCCATAGTTGGCGGGTTAACCTTAAACCGTGTTTTCATATATACTCGAGTAAGTGATGCATTTCCAATTTTATCCAGATACTCCATGCGTGGACTGCCTTTGCCTCAGTCTCCAATAGCATACCTGAAACATTTTATCGTGAATTAACCATAAAATTGAACCTATTCGAATACACAATTCTGTGTACTCAAAGTGCCAGTCATTGAATATTTCGCTAGAAGTTAATTCGTTCTTCTTTCATGCACGTTGTATTACGTTAGTTTAAAAATACGATGAGTGCTGTACGCGTAATCAACGACGATAGTCAATTTTATGGGGAAATGGCTAGTGCGGGTACAAAATTGGTTGTAGTAGATTTCACAGCAGCATGGTGAGCTTCTTAGAATTATATTAAATAAAAGGTTACCAAAATTAGAAGACTCTAATTACCCAACCTATGCTTGCTATTCATATCAACTTATAAATATGAAATTTTTATTTACCTTTTCGTTTAATTTATGAAACGTATTCGAAATATCTTTAAAAAGCATTGATTATTTTGCAAAATGTTTTATGACATTAATAACAAATATAATTTTAATATTTCTATGACTATTGACATTGTTACGTTATATTTTAATATAATCTTCTTAAGAAAGATCTCTTTTAAAACCTCAAAATAATTTTTAATAAAATATTTATCAATTTCACATACTATAAAATATACTGATAATATTTAATACCTCTTAATTTTTATTATTCTTACATATTTACATAAATATAGCTTATTATCAATTAGTTGAAGTAATATTTGTTTGACGTTAACAAAACAATCAATGTTTTGTTATTTGAAAATATCTTTTAATATTAATTTTATAATCTGTAGGTGTGGTCCTTGCCAAATAATTGCACCAATATTCGAACAATTATCAGTTAAATATTCAAATGCAGTATTTCTTAAAGTTGATGTAGACAAATGTGCAGAAACTGCTGCAAAGCAAGGAGTTAGTGCAATGCCTACATTTATATTTTATCGCAACCAAACAAAATTAGGCTTATGTCAAGGTGCTGATCCAGTTGGATTAGAATCAAAAATTCTACAGTTTTATGACAGTGGAGATACAGAAGATTCTGAGAGTCCAGTCTCTGGACATGTACGAAATAGTGATATTTACTATCATATTTTTGGAATTATATTTCTTGCTGCAATTATGTACTTCTGGAATGTATATATACCAACGAAGTTGTGGTCACCTTCTTTCAGTGGACATTAACATTATTATAACATATTAATTAATATTAAAAAAATCCATCAATTGAAATATGCAATGTAAATTATATTGCTTTACCAATTGCATGCATTTGTGATTCTTCAGTATTTTGTAAATATTACATCCTAAATTAAATTTATCATTGATATATAATATGTATGTGCAAAACTTGTATCATTTAGTTGTTTCAACTCTCAATAAAAATTATTTATATCTACATATATCATTTCCCTGGATGTTTGTACCCAACTTTACTTTATATGAAATTATCACAGATAAATATAGTACATAAGTTCTTCAGAAAATTTCAAATACATCTTTTGCAGATGGATCTATCTAGTTTCATTACAAAGGCACAATGCGAATGTTTAAACGAATCCGATGATCACAACTTTCTACAATGTCTAACTGCTGATGATGGATATTTGGAAAGTGACTGTGATGAACAACTAATACTATCTATTGCATTTTCACAATCAGTTAAAGTACATTCTTTGAAAATTAAAGCTCCCAAGGATAAGGGGCCAAAAAATATTAAAATATATATTAATCAACCTAGAACAATTGATTTCGATATGGCAGATTCTAATACAAGCATTCAAGATCTGACGTAAGAGTGGTTATCTCTATATTCCTTATATTATGATGTACTAGTAAGTTTGTTCTAATTGTGTTATTTTTGTCTTGTGCAGATTATCAGAAAAAGATATCGAAGAAGGTATTCCAATTTCTTTGCGTTATGTAAAGTTTCAAAATGTGCAGAATATACAAATTTTTGTGAAAGACAATCAGAGTGGTAGTGAAACAACAAGGATTGATCATATAACTATATTTGGTTCACCAATTTCAACAACAAATATGGGAGAATTCAAGAGACTGGATGGTAAAAAAGGAGAGAGTCATTAACAACCTACTATTTACACATAAAGAATTGTAAAAGATTATGTTCTGTCAAATAAACTTTCCATGGTCATCATATTTTCTAAAAATAATATCAATATAACTTAAAAAACTTTTTTCTAATTTATATAAACTTTCTATTATGCAATTAAAATATTAATTATTATACAATGGTATAATATAATTTGAAAGTTTATAAAATAACAATACATACATAACATTTGAGAATCATTTGTTTATTAACAAATTATCAATAATAATGTCCATTATTGAACTTCTGCAAAATAAATAAATTGCTGTAAGTAGTTGCGATATATATTTCTTATCTATATAATTGTTTCTTAAAAAAATATTTAAATAATTTTTACATGTATGCTTGCTCAATTAAAGATGCAAAGTTGGAAAAAGTAAAAGCTGTTAAACTCATAATAAATAAATAATAAAAATTAACAAGTTATTTATTTTATTTATCCTTCCCATCTAAATAAATATAATTTATAAGGGCATAAAATAAGAAAGTTAAATCGTATCTTAAATAAAAATGTTTAATATCATTCATCTTATTGTGTATAAAATCGCAAGTACAGTTGTAATATAAATTTTATCAATACACTACATTCAATTAATTACTTATTAGGGACAAGTTTTATGAATTCGCCAAATACCACCACAACGACAAGCTCGTGCCCATCTTTGATCCCATGCCCTAATTGCAGCAGTTCTTGTCATATTTTGAACTTGAGCTTTTCCAACACACCTGAAAGTGAAATTTATAGCAATTTATTTAATTCATTACTGTCATAAAATATGATCTAATACAAATGTGAAAAAAGATCCTCATAATTAGTGTTACATTCATTACATATTATACCTTGTACACTGTTTAACAAGAAGTGGTTGCTTTCCAAGATACAGATGTCTAATACCATCTACAATCTGGCCACTATGCATACAGCCTTCGACTGGATTAAGTTCAGGTACAAATAATAATTGTTCTGGCTCAATGCCATATTCTAGCTATAATTAAAATAAAATTATAGATAAAATTAAAAATGAAAAACAGCCTGGTACATGAACAAGGAAATATATTGGCTTTTTTACCTGCAAAGGAAAACTCTGATAAAAAAGTACAGGTGTGGCTATAGCTGTTATGCTATTGCCCTGATGTAACTGTGGTATCATAATTTGATTAGGTAATAGACAACAATCATCTGGAAGAAAGTCATTGTCGTTGCACATATTCTATATTTATAATTACATTTATAATTTTATTGTCTTTTGTAAATAAATTACAATAAATTGTAAATTTCTCTTATCTTCTTGATCATTTTACAATCAGTATTTAGCATACAATTATAATGACTTTATCTATATAAAGATATTGCTTATAATAACATTATAATAAGCTCATAACATCGTAACATCGGAATTAATAACTAGTAATAAAACGAATGATATTAATAAAATTAGAAAATATCTAATTATACTTTAAATAGAACAAATTCATCTTTCGAATCTTTATCTGGCTTATTGTCGGAATTATCATGTGATACGAGAACTGGCTTTTTCTCGTCCAAATTCAGAGACCACTCTTTAAGTAATTCTTGATTAGGATCGATTTCTAAATACACTTCAGTTTTCTCGCTTCTTGGACTTTCTACATCCGCAATAAAATACGTTGCCTCCCCTTCTTTACTTGGCGTTTCAGCTGGTCTCTTTCCTTCTTTCGTATCTTTATTAACGTCTTTTCTAGTGGGAGAAAAATCACTTGGGAAGAAGTATTTCCCTTTCGTTCCTTGAGGATCACTTGCACTATTTTGTTCTGCTTTTTCAGCTTCTTTTATAAGATCGATGAAAAACAATTCTCTCGGCGAAAGTGGTCCTTTCGGAGACACCGTATCAGTTTCATTCTGTGGAGAAACTGTTACCAATTTTAAGTAGTCTTCCGTGAATTCCTTCTGCCTCTTTAAATGATCATTTCCTGATTTCAATGTGTCTTCGCTTTCGTTATTTTGATGGACATTTTCATTAACATTTCCATTAACATTTTCATTAACATTTTCATTAACATTTTCTCCCACGTTCACAGTTCCAACCCGTTCGATACCATTCCCAGAATAACGACGATGAATCAGAAGAGGAGGTAGTTCCCGGTGCTTTTTAATTTTGCTATCCCGAGAATCGTCAGCAATATTTACATTCAATTTATCCCTATCAGAAATAGCACCTTCCGTGGAACCATTCGTGCCATACGTTTGTAAGTTTAGGTTATCATCACGCTTCGTTTCAGGACATATCCAAAATAGAAACGAACAGGATGAGAGCAAAATGAAAAGCCACATGAAAAAGGCGACGATCCAGCACAGAACGTACCAGCCAACGGACGAACTTGTAGGCTTATTCGTAATGTTACTAGTTACCGCCCCGATTACAGGAGGTACTAGTATGATCCAATAAATAAAAAAAAAGAAACACATTAATATGCAAAATAAGGTTAATTTAAAGGATTTCGTATGCTTAATAAATGGCTTGCTCATTTTTAAGTTTGTAGAAGAAGAATTATAAGAAACACTGATCAAAATACACGACAGATTCCATGCACTCTGGCATTTCGCCAGATACTCACTGGAATGATTGTGTCAGAACTGAATGAAAAAATCTGCAATTCCCTTCGAACATACGAGGAAGTGGTGTTTTATCTTACTTCCTACTAGCCAACATATTACGATAAGGCCCAGACGGTTATTTATAAATGTTACACGCGAATATGCATTCGTCTTATTACATGTTATTAATATACGTATATTAATATTAATACGATTTATAGTTCCAAGTTGGATAAACATGAAAGAAAACTTACCAATTAGACCGTCGTCAACCTGCTGCGCCTGACCATCTCCGTTTGGCTGAACCAATTTTGACAATAAACGGAATAACAAGGCCAATACATCGAGATTATCGGCACTACGAAGAAATACTGGTAGACACGAAGGACGCAATAAACCCCATATACGTATAATTACAAGCAATTCTCTCAATGTATTTAAAGCCTTGTGATCCTTCAGGAGTTCGTACTGCGTCAATATTACGTAAAAATAATAATAAATAAAACTATGCTAGTTTGGTCAAGGTGTAGTTATATTAGTCGAAATTTGCAATACTAACACCGCCAGATTTCATTTGCAACCGCTGCTCTGGAAGACGAGCTAAGAGGTTCAAAGCTAGATCCGCGACCCATTGAATTAATTGCTGCAACGACTGAAGCGTGCTTGGTTCTACGGTAAATTCTTTGGGATCAAGATGTAAAAGTACCTGGCAATCACACGTTAATTATCTGATACAACAAACAGACCTGTTGATGCTTTTCTTATGGGAGAGAATAAAATTCATTTCTACCTTATCCACATCGGTAATCGCATCGTTAATCACTGTTGCTAAGCTCTCCGCTGGTCCCTTATCGTGAGAAATTAAATCTGACGGACGTAACAATGATTTAAACGCTGTTGCTACTGAATGTATCATAAGTAACGACGACAAATCTGCGGCTTTACATTGTCCTGGTACTAGCATTCTGAAAATAAATTTTTAACAGTAATCCTGCTCGAGAACGATGCGAAGCAGCATACTTTTGACATAATTTCTCTTTTAAAACGATTGTTAATTTAAAAGAATAACACGAAACCTGTACAATGACGTTTTGATGCAAAGGAATTGAATATAATGATACTGTTGTATTGGCTGTAATTGTCTGTTAAAAGAAACGTCTAGCCTTTCGCACAACGGCTCAATCATCGAGGATCTCAAACACAACAGTATGTCCAACCAATCTAATCCTGTTACTAAACAATATTCTAGTAATGTACAAGCATAACTTAATGTCAATGATGGTCCTGTAAAAAGAATCTGTAGTATGGTATTCTATTTTGGAAAATAACTTTTTTTTTTAATGTATATTTACTGAAGAATTACCTCCATCAGGCAGTAATTTGTACAGATATAAATTTCCACGCGTATCACAAGCTAGAAGTGCACAACCCAGCCAAGACAGATCTATATTAGTTATCGAAACCGAAGTTTTAAAATACTTATTATTTGGCTCTTCAGGTCGCCAAGCCATATTCAAAGAAGAAAAAGATATTTCTTTTAAACAATCGCGACTTAAACAATGTATCGAAGAATCTGCTAAAGCTACTACAACGTAACTTGGAGGAGGTAATGTGGTGACAATAGATAATTTTGTAGTCGCTATCGCTGCTATTGGAGACTGACAACGATATTGCGATTGATGTTGCCATACCTATAAATGAAGATTAAAAACATGTATCATTAAGTAATTGATATTACATCAAACTTTTTATACATAACTTTTTGAATTTGTACACATACCACAACAGTTTTGAATGGTTCTAATGTTTTGGGCTGAAACAACTTATGAACTGGTTGTGACTTTTCCCTTAATTCCCATACTTCTACTATACCACCGCTATCACTATTAACTGCAATAACCAAAGAGTCTGCATCTTCCCGGACTACAAACTTCAAGTGTGTTACACTTGTATCTAAGAAAATAATTTCATTATTCTAAAGTTTGATAATCCATAATTAATTTTAAAGAAATTGTTCGATATTACATGTATTGTCCTTTGGTGCACCATCTTGTAGAAAGAAACTAGGCAGTGCTTGTGACGTAATAGTACATTTATCATCATTTTTACGTACTAATACTCTATAACATCTAATTGGCAGACAAATATTTCCACTACTTATAGCTACCAAAATATGACCATCTAAAAGTTTATGAAGTTTTGTGTTACTTTATTTGTTGCTATTTAAGTAGCTATCTCAACAATAATTAAAGCATGGATAAATATGTACTTTTCCCATAACATAAATCAACTGCTGTTATCCTGTGCCTTGTGCTACCTAAACTTTCTGTAGAGGAACAAATAGGATTTTGAAAGTCTTTCGTGATCATAACAGCACCAACCATGCCTGTTGTTGAAACTACCAATACACCTTCTGCTGCTCTACCACCGAATTGTCTTACAGAGGGAGCAAAAGGTAAATGATTAAATTTCTCACTATAATGAATACTATCCTTTTTTTCTGTTACAAGTCCTGTCTGAAATAAATTTTTTCTATAAGAAGAGCTCATCAAAGTCAAGATCAAAAAATCCTTTAACATCATTTTGAAGTACCTTTTTACCATTATGAAACCATGCTGCACCTAATATATATTCACCAACAAAACAAGTTGAACCAATTAATACCCAATCATTAAGAACATGATCTTTAAACATCCATAACTGAACATTTCCAGTGGAATCAGCAACAACTAATTTATCACCTGGTAAATCCCATTCTAATGCAGTAATATTATTTTTATTTGATAACACCCTAATGATATATAATAATAGTAATAATTATTATTAGCTTTTTTTAGTTTCTCGAAATAAGAGATAAACTATGTATTGGAAAATATTTCATACTTGTGAGTATGCCAAGGCATATTTAAGTCACAAACATAAACATGAGATCCCCATGTTTTTCCATTGTTATCATCTAATTCTGTAGTAGTAGTAAAAGCAGCAATATTACGACTAGATAACGAGCATAAAGATTGTCCCTCATACAGGCTAAAAATTTGATTACTGCATAAACATTAAAGGATTATATTTTAAAAGGTATGTTCTTGGAGTTCAATTTCATTATAATATATTTTTAAATATATAAAAATATATTTCTCAATTATATAAAATATTAATAGATATAGATATTAAGTAAATGAGATATACTTTATCTTTTAATATTTTATTTGTTTATGATACATTAATGTAAATAACAGTTGCTCAAAATATGTTATATCAATGAAAATAATGTAAAAAAAGAAATTGACCATTTACTAAAATTAAAAAAGTATAATCACGTACCTTTCTTGATTTAGAAATGGTTTTGGTGTGACTTTTCTATTTACAGTATACAGTAAATCCATTCTTGCGAGGTTATGTTATGTCGCGATTCAACAAACACTACGAAAACGAGTGTATGCACTCCAAAATTATTTGTTTACTATGTTCGTGCATTGCGATGCACGAAAGTGCGAGGTGTATTGGTTTTATGTACTAAAGAATTACACAACAAAATTATACCGGGAAAACGGCAACAGATTTACACACACATCACTGTCGTCAGCACTGCGTCATGTGCTGAACTGTGTTTGTGCTCTGACCCATCCGAATATGTATTCTTCGTTCTGATTTAGGTCATTCGCAATTATGAGACTTCTTCCATTATTTTTAGTTATCCAACTTATAACTAAATCTTAAAACAGTAAACTGTACTTCAAATACAAGAAACATAAATGGTACATTACGGTCAATTAATTGATTTATGCAAGTGTTAATATATTTTAACCTCGCTCCGTTTGTTTTGATTCGCTTTTGTCCCTTGAAACTGGCTGTATTAATAAATCATATTTGCATCGTTTTCTCCTTATTTATTTCAATTTCCTATTCCTATTTGTGCTGTAATAAAAGTCAAAATATTGTATGAATATTTTGTCAGCCTTAAGTCTTTAGTTATTCATTTTTTTATGGTGTGGATTAGGATGTGAACACATTGTTATTGCTTAAGTGTGACATTAAAAAACAACAACATGAAGATTCAAATGCATGGTCTAGAAATAAAATTAAAATGAAGGATAATAGGTTGCTAGAAGTCTTGTATGCATATATTTTTATCTTTTGTTTACTTTGCATGTTATATTTATTTTTTTAGAATATACATGCAATTCAAAATAACATATTAGTCATTAGTTAAGTAGTTATTTTGACTTAGTTTTTATAAATGAAACTGTATAATATATCTCAACAAGTATTCCTATTCTATTCTATATTATTTTTATATATATGAGTAGATATAAAAGGCTGACTTTGTATATATATTTTTACTCTCTACAAGTGTCATAATTTATGGAATTTGTCCATGTGAATCTCAATGCATGACACATAGTAACATGTAAAAAAGTTTAACAATTTCATTATATAGAAAATGGATGGTGATCAGGCAAAGGACAGCCCTTCAAAACCAGCTGAAAATGTTAAGAATAAATCTGGGGAACCATTAGGATTAAGTACCAAAATTGCTCTTGAAACATTACATCGTGATATTAAAAGAGTCTTACAAGAATACGAAGAAGATTGCAAAAAAAATAAGTAATATTAACATTCATTATTTGTTTACATTGAAAAATGAATTCCATATTTTATACTGTATATATTGTATATATTGTGTGCAGAAAATATAAAGCTTGGCTAAAGGATACTTTACATCATCGTAGTCAATACACAACTCTTTGTTGGACATCAGCAATTGCACTTTTGATCAATGCCATTATCCTTGTTAGTGCATTCTTCACAATTGACGATACATGGTATGAAATAAATCAATTCTTTTTCATGTATGAAACACAGTCATGTTGTATAAATATATTAATACTCATAGTACATGCCAACAGTAGACTTCCATTCAAAATTCACAACAATTGTCAGAAAGTAAAAGAAAATACTAATATAATGTATAAAATTTCGTACTATTACAGGTACCCTACACTGCCTTACGAAGGACTGACTGTATGTTGTTTAGTAGTGTTAAATTTTATTTTAGTTGTATCTGATAATAAATTGCGACACGAAGAAATTCCTTATAGAGTACAAGTTCTTCTTGATCAATTAGAAGGTATTTAAATATTTTAAATGGTCTATATTTTAATATATTTTAAACTTTTTCTCTATCACATGTTTCAGTGGCAAAAAGTATTTGTCAGTGGAATCCTGAAAATTACCCACATTTATGTAGTCCATTGTCTCCTTGTTTAACATTACAATGGTGTTATCGTGATGGTTGTATAGTAAATTTGCCCTGGGCATTATTAGTTGCTGGTGATATAATTGTTATAAAACCTGGGCAACAAGCACCTGGATACTGTATTCCTTATGATGTAAATTTAATGCTTTATGATTTGACACATTTTATCATATGAAATAAATAATAATACAAAGTAATTTTAGGATCCTGATGCACCAGTGTTACATGCAAGAGAAGTATTCAGTCCACAAGTTCATAGCGCAAATGAAATTTTTTCAACACCACAGGCTCGAACGCCATTGAAGAATAAAATGTATAAACTTCAAGAAACACCGTATTTGATGAACCTCAGAATGGCTCTCGATCAAGCCCTCGATAGACCGGTCACATATCACAATCGTAAACGGCATCTCTTAATGATTTGTTGTATCGAACAACAAGCTTACCCGATTCTTTTGATCATTGTGTTAGTTGTAAACTTGTTTCGATACTTGTACGTATCGGAATATTTTGGTGTCGGTTATTGGAACGAGATGTTCTTGCTACAACCGATTGCTATTAGTATCCCTTTACTTCCATTAGTATTTCCGACTTGTTGGATTTTTTTAAATTGTTTTGGAATGGCTCGTTTCAAAGCACTGTTTAAACTTTATCAATCTTCGAAGAAACTTCAGGTTAATAGATCCTTAAGACAGAGGAACTTTCATCGAATATTGACTAAATCACTTGTGCGATATTTTCTAAACTGCGTTCCTTTTAGTTTGTGGACCCTTTTGAAGATGCAGATATTTCTGGACCTAGCCATCCAGAAGTAGTGTACAATTGGTTGGAATTGAAAGAATACTTTTTTAATATCTTGTCTGGCAAAGAGCACATGATGTCGAGATCCGCCAGTATTCTACATGTTTTAGGATCAGTTACGGTACTTCAGGCACACTACAATATAACTTCTAAACGATAGAATGAATTAAAACAACCAAATTTTTAGGCACTGTGTTGCGTAGATAAGAAAGGGATTCTTTCATGGCCTAATCCAACTGCGGAGAAAGTATTTTTTTTACGAAACGCTAATACTCTATCCCCGTCTTCAAGGTAAATATACTCTTCGAGAACAATTTTCCCAATACCTCGAATACCATACTTAAGTAGATGCAATTTGAAACATGTTACAGCACTGGTAGTTTAGACAGAGCCTCGGAACCTCAGTGTCAAACGCAAACTGAAGATTCTAAGCAGGATTCGAATAAAACGTCATATGTAACACACGGTAATGAAAAGAAAACAGAAATGAAGGAGCTATTAGGAATAAAATTTCTTCGAAAAAGCGATTGTCATAAAAATAGAATAATTTTTAGATATGTCTCACTCAACAGCTGAAGTCTTGGATCTCACTCACGATCATGCTTTGCCATTTCGTCTACAGTTTGACGATCATTCCTGGAGGCAACACTTGAACTCGTTAAAACCCCTCGGTTTAGCAATCCTCCTCAACACGTGTAATATGGACACCCAAGAACATTATATGCAGTTTTGTTGCCATGTCACGTGTGAAGCTCTGTATAATGAGAATCTTGTACCGGTCACGAATAGACGGTACGTATTCACTTCGTTAGAACCAACCGTTTTTGTTTGTGTTTTGTCGTATTGCATTTCTTTTCCTCGTTTGTGTGCATTACTCGAACTAATTCTCCCAAATGTCAAGCTAATTGTCCAGTTTGTCATACGCATAATCCTAAGACAGTCCAAAGGTAACACGTCCAATTACCAGTAACGTTGATCATACACATTTGTCAGCTACCAGGATCACAGTGTAGAAGATAAGAGTCTGTATCAGGCAAAAGATACAATGCAAAGTTCAAGACACGTGTATTTAGTCGACGAATCAGGCAGCCTTGGACATATGTGGTCAGTCCAACCATAGTTATTTTACGTATCCTCCGTATTTATAGTTAAACCGTTTATATGGGTGAATGTATCTCCGAACGTATATTCATGGGAATGCTAATCACGGGAGAATCTCACATTTCTGTTCTATTCTTTTTCCTTCGTTGATGCAAATGCCAGTTCATTGAACTTGATGTATATGATTCGTATAGGTGTTTATGTGAATTAGCGAAGCAGATAGGTTTCCAAGACCAGGCTCAAAATATATTCCAATTGGAGCAACAGTTATCTACGTTTAGGCACGTTGTAAGCATCGTTCGAACTTTTTACCTTGCTTCAACCCAAGTGGAAAAATTACAATTCTTCCTGTTACAGCAACCAGAAATGGTTCGACGAGACATAAAGTTTGCACGATCCCTAAGTATTGCAACGAAGTTAAAGTTTCCATTCCCGCACATGGTCGCCGTAGTAGTTAGGGAACGCAGTGGAGGTGGTTTGCAATTGCTCACTCAGGGTACAGCTGACATAATTTTGGATTCCTGTATCGAATTCTGGGACGGCCACGACCTCTGTCCACTCTCAGCGTCCGATAGGTACATAAGACCATGGTTGCTTTGCATTCTTGATACTCATCGGGCATGTATTCCAGGAAAAAGGTGCAGGATTTCTATCAGAGAACTAGTTTGACATCATACTGCACCGCATTTGCATACAGGCCACTGACTCGTGGTATCTGCGATAAGATGACTAAAATATACTTAGAACTTCCTGCAGATAGCAAACATTTATATGCACCTCACAGAAGTCCCACTCCGCTACCTTGGGACTTTAGAAACGTTCTCGATCCCAGAGTAAAAGGCATACTTGGACAATTTCATTCGACCGGTAAGTAGTGATACTTAAGAACTAACGTGATCACTGTTGATTTATTGGTACGACTTCCTAGATTCCTTACTGTGCAATGAAAACAAGGACGATAACGTAAATGACGTTGACAGTTGCTTCGAAGTTCAGTGCAATCAGGTATTCATTGGGATGGTGACCATGCAGTATCAAGCACAAACGGATATGGTAAGACGCTTCAGCTAAACGACCCAACACTTGAAATGAAGCAACAAACGAGGTTCTCTTAAAATATTTGACAGGTACAGTTAATCGAGCAACTGGACAGGGCTTGCATCCGATTTGTTCACTTCAGTAAAGAGAACGAACTAAGATCACGAGTATTCTCGGAGAAAATGGGACTCGAGAGCGGATGGAATTGCCATATATCGTTGCTGAGTGAGAGAGCTAGGTACTGTACCTCACTCCTTCACCATTAATCTACGTCTCTATAAACTATTTTGCTTTGCTTTATTTTGCTTTTGGATTAATCTAAGAAGTTTGGGGCATGTCCTCATGTTGGAAAGTATATATGTTCTCTTCTCTTATACGTGTAAAGTCTGTGTACAAAAACATATTCAACACAAAGTATTTACACTAATCGTATGTCGTTGGTGTTACGATATCTTCTTCGTTGATTAATCTGAATATATACGTATATGTCGTTTTTTAGTGTTTTTTTCTCTCTGTCTAATCTGTTGTAAGTCTAAGATAAATGGTGGTAACTGATATAATAAATCTGTTTAACTAGCTATTCGTCATAACTGTGGATGTGAATGTAAAATATGCATGTACGTTACAGGAGACAGCAATGGCTGGAGAGATATCCACACATGCCCCCATCGTATATGTTTGTCTATACCTCTTTCTTTCATTACTGTTACTAATTTGCATGTTTATTAGTTACGCTCTCTATTAATTATTTTTTTTTTTTTATTTTTTTTACCATTACCCGGTTTTACATAGAGTTAAACGTTCTTCGAATGCGATGATCTGATTTTTCTTCCCCCTTTGGTTTCACGATTGATACGTATTTTAGTGAATTTTCGAGTTTAAGTACGATTTTCTTGCCGACGTTCCTCCTATGTATTTTATTACGTTTAGAGCATTACGTTAAAACGATTGTATTTGCGCTGGTAGTTATTGATGAACTACGTTATATAGTTTAATGGCTTCTTCATTAGCGGATACAACTTTTAACTACATTCGATTCTTGTACACTTTTACAGTTATTCTATGCACATGTGTTAATATCTCGTAATTTACATGACATACATAAAATACACGAATAAATGTATGTAACTAACACGCCAATATTAGGTCCGAGAGTCCAGTGGGTTGGTGGGTGAGCCAGGCAGCAGCCATGTCCTCACCCACTCCCTCGGCCCAATCTCATCAGCATAATTACTCCTGCATGGATGAGGCCAGCCACTTGCTTAATCGTGTCTCTCCTCGGTATGTTACATATTACCCTCTTATCACACGTAAACACTAAAAAGACATTTCACTCTAATGTTTATTACACGTATCTATTCTCGATTTAGATATGTGCTTTTGCTTCACGATACGATATACGAATAAGATCCTCGCCGATATTTGAACATTAAGAGCATGCATTCAAACATTTCTGCTGCATAAATATGCTGCATCGATGTGTTTGTGTTCCAAGGATTCTATCCTGCATAAACGCACGGGGGAAGTTGCTCCTTCGTAATGCCATCTGTTTTACATTGTAGCACGAATCTGGATAACAGCCGTGCCATGAGTATGTCTGCTCCCAGCGCTATAAATACCGACTTCTCCACCGTGAAATTCGACGATGAGACCACGGAATGGAACGATACTGGAACATCTCAAGTTAAAAGCGCCATGAGCCATAGGTTTGTCTATACCTCGCTTACAACGATTTCCTGAGATTATTTATTTTTACGATTACTTCAAATGCTATAATATTATTCTGAATTTGCATGGCAGTCTAAATCACCTAGCACGATGGCTCACGAGATCAGGATCGTCACAATTTTCGTAATTATTTTGCTCCCTGCCTCATCTTTTTTCAGTAGACTAGACTTTTTGGTACACTTCGTTATTTCTCGCGTTCAGTAGCTCCATCGTCATCCTATCGCACTCGAAATTCACGTTCTCGTAGATGATTCATTCGTTTGTTAATGAGTTTCTATTCTGCGCTATTTTACCACGAACAACGTCGAATATTCATCGAATAATCTATCCGCAATAGGGAACAAGACATGGTGAGGAGCGAGGACAGCGTTCTTGTGCAAAGCGTGGATTTAGGTTCCGGGCAAGAAACATGGCGGTCCCTAAGTTGTCTTACAGACAGCACGGAGCAAAGTGCTCCCGTAAATTTTGACCTATCGAACAGGGTAAGTTACCAGGATGAGGATAATTTTGCTTCGAATCTTCATGCTTCCATTTTTCAGGCGAAACTACCTCGAGGCATCGATAAGATTCGACCACACATAGAACTGATAGACAATGTACCCCTTTTGGTATCTCTGTTCACTGATTGCAACACTGCTGTTACGAGGGAAATGCTGCACATTATGCAAGATTATGGGGAAGTTGTTTGTGTTCTTGGCTCTTCTGCTAACGCAGAGAACATGCCCATCTTTATGCAAGCTGATGCAGGGTAAATATACCATTACGTGTAAGAGTAAAGGATTGTCTCTTAGCCTAACTGTAAGCTAGGCAACTTAGGAACAGGCTCGTGACGCAAACATAATCACATTGATTAAAAGAAGAGACAAATAATATATAAATACAGCTGAAGAGGTTAGTTTATAATTCAAAAGATGAGGATTGAGAACAAGAACATTGCAGATTGAGATCTGAAAGATTGAAATTTAAGAGACCAAAGATTAAAGCTTGCAATACAGATACTGAGTATCTGATAAATCAATTTTATTTTTATTTCTCACATATATCAATGATCAACGAACGAGATTTGTAAGAAGGTATTAAATATATTATACATACAGGCTCATTTACAAATTACATTTTCTTTTAGCTACGAAACGACCAGGGACTAGATAGCTCGTACTGTACACCGTGTCTTTCTCTATCCGAGCAGTAATAATTGGTCGATAGGACACGCGAATCCTCTTCGAAAGTGGTTCTGTATATTTATACGACAAATGATTCGTAGTTTGGTAATCAGTTTTGAACTTGGTTTGCCAGAATTCTCGTTTCCGTGGCCTCTTAAGGTTCACGGGCACACCAAAGTCTTGATAAGACTCCTTCGTCACTGTTTTGTATTCTATTGGTATGGGATGTTGAATTTTTCCTTTGTACGGTTTGAAGGAAATTGTCTTCGCGTGTCCAGGGTCCAAGTAAGATGTCTGATGAGTAGTCGACATATCGTGAGAGCCATTGATGGACAAACATGATTTTGGGACGAAAGCTCTGCGTGCCTTTCCGATCGAAGCTGGGTACGAAAGCTTGTACACTGTGTCGAAGTCGTACTTTCCAGTTTTCTCAGCGATTATTTTCTCGTATTTCCCATAACCTTCTCTCGGTTTAGGAGTGCACTCGGATTTGTAGGACAAACTATACGTCGTGTCTGACTGAATTTTTAGGGTTGGTTTCTGGTAAGGTTTAGTGTGCACTATAGGACGAGCTTTGGCTGGCTGCAGGTATGCTAGATTTTCATCTTCGCAGATGAATCTTGCAGGTTTGTTTGATTCTTTCGTTGTATGTTGCGCGACGTCGGCAATAAATACCATTTTTATCAAAATTTAACTCGAGGTAAAATGGGGTTGTATAAAATTCAACTTACGCGAAGAACATAGCAAACGGTGTGTTCGTCGCACGTTCAACTGTCTTCTGCGACGTTTGAGCATAAAATAATGACAGGAAATAATTGTTTGGCTTTAGAGTGGCAGTAGAACCGTTGTATCCGCAAGTTTGTCAGAGAGTCCCGGTTCTGTCACCAACCACAGACGACCAAGGTCCGTCTCCAGTCGATTTGAGCAGAGCACTGAACTCTATTTCCTGCTCGTTGAGCGTTAAACGGGAAGATCCGATTGCGATTTTCCATTTAATTATGGAGGTAAATAATGTAATAAAACATCTTGAAATGAATTATGGCAACGAATAATCTGAATTCGATATTTTTCATTCAAAAGAGTTGCAAAATGATACGTTATATTTTCAGCTTTATTTAAATTCTTATTGTTATTATAATTACTGTATATTATTTATTATATTATTTAGGCTCGACATTACATGACGTCCCTCTGGAATTGCGTGCAATTCTGGCTCTGTTGTACAGTTACCCTCTCCTTCACTCAAGCTGTATCTGGTTTCTTGCTGCTACCACCTCTGTTCTCAGTCGATCAAGTCTTATGGTTGTGTTGCTTAATCATTCCAATGTTATCTATATCCATGATCGCTACGCCCATGGATCCTACCATAATGCAACGTGCAACTGGTAAAAATCAGTGTACCGTAAACGGCCAGGTAAGGAACGGAACTACTTAATCGATTTTACGTCTGGTATCGCTCGATCTCGATAATGTGCTCTTCATGTTTCAGATTGCTCTGTTCGTTTTGTGGTGTTACGGTAGCAAATTTTTACCAACAGTCATAACGATAGTTTTATCCCAGTGTATGTCGCTTCTAACTTTGTGCCCGACCTACACAGCAGACGCCAAGTGCTTGTATGTGTATCCCGATCCACAGGGTGAAATCTCATGGGGTGGTTGGGGCGATAAACCGAATATTATTTTAGTGATACAACACTTTGCCTTGTCATTATTAGTCTTACATTTAGGTAAATTTTATTATTCTCTGATCCAGCGATTTTCAACCAATGTACCATTTCTTCTCCTTGGATTGTCAAATAATAATATGACAGAGAGATCTAGTTAGAAGTAAGATCTTTTCATGTGTTCTTTATATGCTGCAGAATTTTAATAACTAGTTTGTGTATACAGTGAAATGTATAAGGTTGAAAATCGCAATTCTAATCTCTCATGGTGACAAATTTAGGTTGTCACGTTGATCTCTATTAAAACACTTAATATTTTCCTTTCGTGCAGTCACGATATCCATAAGCTTTGTACATAGAGAGTATTCCATTTGGAAGAAACAACCATTTAACAATTATGTATGGTTCTTAAGTGCATTTATAGCGTGAGTATATAAATCCATAGTTTTTAAAATATACCTATTGTGTAAGGGTTCCTATTGGAATTAAGTCTTCTTTAGATTATGCGCACAAGCAGCATTCTCAGGAACTGTCTTCTGCAAATTTTGGAGGGACGAAGGGCAAAGTATCGAAGGTTTCCCTCTGCAGCTTCCCTTATTTTTCTTGATTTCGTTGCCACTGATTTTTGCGATCAACGAATTGATCAAGTGGCAAGAGATTAAGTAAGTATCTGATAAATTTGAGATATTGGCAAGCACTTGATTATCTTTAAATATGTTTTTCAGGGTAAACGTGAGGTACCAGAAGAGAGCGCGGCTAGAGTTCGGTACAAAACTCGGAATGAATTCGCCGTTTTAACGAATTTTAATTCCGAATACGATAAAGGGGAAAGAAGAAGGTAAAGATAGCCAAATAACGATAAAACGTGTGTATATACGGACTACAGTCAAGGGAACTGAAATACTCAAGTTTCGCATAATACCGTTAATGTATTACACTGTATTTCGTGAAAATCGTCGAGATCGTTAACTTATTAGTTATTTATTTCGAGATGCACTAAACAGTCTATCCAAGAAATGTAACTTACACGGATAACGTTGCAGTTTAGGGTTATGAATTTATTCGGATAGCTGTACGTTGTTCAACACTCGAAGAGTGATTAAAATCCTCTAATCGAAAAGTAAATCATTGCTGGCTATTTTGCCTTGTCGCAGAGTAATCGAAATTAGTATTCAAGACCATGCAGTTTCGAAATGTGTATAATTGTTTTCATAATTCGATAACTCTATATCAAAGTATTTATATTTTTGTATAATACAACACGATATGAGATTTTATATTTTAGAAATTAACGTGTTGAGAGGTAATACCTATTATCGCAAATTTATGCGATTCGATGTACTTAATTTTGAATTATAAATGTTGTACATAAGTAATGTGCAATATTTTATCTCGCTTTCGATTTGTCTTGTTGGTATTTAACTTTGTTGAATTACGCTGTTTTGGTAAGGTACATGTATATGAATAGAAATGATCGATAATTTGTTGAGAAATTGGATCTATAATTCGGTAGGTTGCATACAAGTGAGAGTCAAGGCAATCCATTTAATTTTAAGAACTATTTACCGATGTTTCGAATTAATTAGTTAAATAACAACAAGTTAAATAAATATACACGAAGGGATGAAATACCACTGCTACTTAGATTTAACAACCTTAGCATTATTTGTAGTAATTATCCATTATTGCTGTGTTCCTATAGAAAATAATTTATTTTTTAGCAATCGAGCAATACTGCTTTTCATCGAGTTTCTTAGGATGTCTGTTTTGCATGATTACGGTACTATTATTTGCAAGCATTATCTTGTGTGAATGTTTTAAAGAAATGACTTTCTGTAATTATATTGCAAATTATAGCTTGCTGGTAGATAGTAGGAAAATGAAAAGTTAATGTTTAATATCATAGATCATTCTAGTGCACGAGGAATACTACAATGCGTCGACATTATGATTCATGATACTGGAACTTTAGCTCTGACTTATCCTAACGGATCTTTTGTTCTCACGATCGTATTCAAATGAATTTTATAGAATTATTTTTCTTTCCTTCCTGTACGTTATACATCGTTATGTAACTATACATTATTGAAATTTATACATGTACAAGTTATTTAGAATCCGAGCTTCGTTAGGTCGATAGATTATTCTGATCGCAAAAGAAAGTTTCTACAAATTTACTATTTTACGTCTATTATTACAAAACTTTTATACGTTTGATTTTTATAGAAAGTATAAAAGAATTTGGTTAAGTATATCGATTGTAAAATGATTATTATCAAAAGTCGAATAAACTTCTTTGAATTTAACATTCCTCTTATTAGTTTTCGCAATTTTCTGTTTAAGAGTTTAAGACTGCCAAATTTAATTTAAGATTTAAAATACGATGGTGACCTGGACGAAGAAATCATACAAGAAAATATACGGTCATCTTGCAGAATTATTTATTGTCTCTTGCAATATAGTCAAGATTAGCATGATAAATATAATGAAACAAATAACAGCGGAATGTACCGCTTCATACAATAATTTCGGTGAGAATACTGACCAGACGAATAAATGATGACGCTGAATGCTGATTATAATTGTGTAAATAGCTACTGGCAACAATCTCCATGTAATATACGTTTTACTAATTTGTGCAACTATTTTCCGAGTACTAAAAAAAAAAATACATAACTTCACCATGTCATGTTAACACGAATTCCATTTCAAGGATTGAAATTCCGAAACTACTCACTCGAACGTATGCTGCAAGATGGCATGATACACAAGCAGAAGATAGGCCAAACCCGGAGCTGAATAGGTATTAATTAACAATAACGAACCATTAATTAATGGTATGTATGATTGTACACCTACATAACCAGCAGCTACATCGATAGTCGCCAAACTATTAGAATTTCCCTGTAGAAAATTGCATGTTTTGTTTGAAAGTTGCTTCAATTATAGCGATGACCTATTATAAGATTATTACCTGATAGAAGTAAAACACATTGCCAATCCACGCATACAAGAACACGTAAATCTCTTGCGTAATATCGTTCTTAATTATTCCACGAATTAGGCTACTGAAAATTATCTGAAGTGGCAAAAGTATTACATTGTGTGGCTGATGAAGCATTGCTGAGATCATAGTCCACATTCGTACAATAAAATGCAAAGAAACTCTTAAAAAGAGTCTGGTATCGAATTTTCTTATTTGGACTAAATTATAAAAGTAATTTGCGAAATTTATTAGTAGTAGAAACCAGAAAATTTGTACTTCGTGTACCTCTCTGTAACAAATGGTCACAGAACAAAACATGTATGTATATTTAGAAATTTCTTAAATAAGCAACAAGCTTACCTAATCTGAGGGAAAAATGGTATTTTGGCAACACTATTGTTATGCATATGACGAAGATAAATGCATATGATGGCTACTGAGTTCAGTAGAAAGGATAGCTTTTTGTATTTTTTACTCTGGTGAACAAAATCAATCCATGTCAAGAGTGCAAGACCTATGAGAGTAGTTTTGAGGGTTTTAGAATATATTCTAGCTTCAATGATTGAAATGGTAATATATAATTAAATTACCAGTGACAAGCACAATAGTCATGCCCAATTTGCTCTGTTGCTCTACTAAAAATCCTGCTATATCGGGAAGATGAGCATACTTATCCCCAGTACTATTTAATTTTCGAAGAATTCTGTGTCCTATTAGTAATAACAACAGCTTAATGCAAACCTGTGCATGCATACATTGTTGGAAGCTTCTGTAACTGAAATTTGATACTGAATAAGTATCAGAAGACAATATTTTACATAGCGTAGCGTTTTATATTAGAGAAAAATTGCCTTACGATCGTAAATGCATGAAAAATTTCGTGATAGAGTTGTATAGCAATAATATGAGGACTGTGGCCCAATAGAAATACCAAGTTTGATGTTCTTCCTCCACAAAGCTACTACCACTAAGACTAATTGCATGTATTAATGTCCCGAATAAAAGGAGCCACTTTTCTATGCCATTCTCTTTCTAGTTTTTGAAAAAGGATTGTATTACAATATAATCAATCTTTTCTTATTTGCATTTCATATTTTATTTACCTCGAATGAAAAAATGCTAAGATGCTTAATACTGGCAAGTAAGTAGGAATTTATCATTAAAGCAATTATTATGCTCAATGCTATCATAGTGGTGATGAAATTTCTTGTATAAAGTAATGATACATCTTCACTTTTCCAGAAATAATTCACCAACAGCCATGAAAATATATTTAAAATAATAAAAGATAAAACATTTTTTAATGTAGGTGGCATAGAAGACATTTTCCCTACCAAAATGTAAGTAATCTGAAATAGTTATTAAATTATACAGAAACAATCTAACATAGTTACATATCAAACTAATTTTTACTCTTACATGACATAAGAAAAATATAGCTATTGTTATTATCTGGAAATCATATTTCACTGTACTATTTATGAGGATTTCTTTCATTCCCTTTAGTGCAGTCTTATAGGAAAGAACAATATCATCTGTCATATCATCTGATTGATCTTTGGTATCTAACCATGCATTATGGAGCTTTATTGCTTCTAAATATTTCTGATATGCATCTGCAAGGATGAGTAAATATATGATGCTGTTTAGAAAATTATATTTACTTAAGTATGATCAATTTACTCACATTCAGACTCATAATCAACTACCTCTTTGAAATGATTAAAGACTTGCATTGAATTGTAATAAAGTATAAATAACTTCTTTGAAATAGGTAAATCATATAAAGTATCCAAAAAGACAGTTCCTATATTAGGGTATGGTATTGGCACTCCCAAAATCACAGATAATGTAGATGCAATATCTATTTGTGATATCTCTATGGTATTATTATAATTTTGATGATATTCCCCACCAATTACAATAAAGGGAACAGTTGTTTCTGATACTGTTGAACCACCATGACCACCAGAATCTTTCATCCCATGATCCCCACAGATAATAAATAAGGTAGAATCATTATTTTGATTCTGAAGATAATAAGTATATACTGATTTTATAAATATAGAAAATATATTGAGATTTCTATACTTTTAAGAAATCAATATTTTGTACTATATATCTGAAATATTTTTTGTACTGTACTGCACCTACCCATTCTTGAACTTTAAAATGAATTTTTGCTATTAAATTGTCCATTTCTGTAAGTTTGGTTTTAATTAATGGACTAAATGGTCCATGAACATGACCAATGTGGTCCAAACCTAAATAATGAAGAATCATTATAGACCAATCATTATTATTATATAATTCTTCATGTATATGCCTAGTCACATTATTATCAACCTATATTGGAAAATCTTACTGTAATTATATGTTGTATCAGGACTTAAGAAAGATAAACTAAAACAATACCTCAGTAAAATCTGTTACAACAAACGATGTTGTACCATCATAACGATCAAATATAGTTGGAAACAATGTGATCCAAGTATCATCTCCATAAAGTACTAATTTATAACCAGCTTCTTTTGCTTGGAAGAGTACACTGTCACCAGAAATTGGTTTACTTCCAAAGTTTAGAGCTACATCGATAAAACTTGGTATCATACCAGTGGTAATTGCCTATGTTATACAAAATATTATTTTGCTTATATTTTTTTTAATTCTTGAAAACAAACTTTATAAAAAATGTATTACAACTTTAGCACCTTTATTCTAGGCATTGTAACAGTCGGTGGTTGTACTTTAGCTTTGAACAAAGAAGCTGAAGAATTTGCTATAAGACTACTTGTAATAGGCATTATAACATTCCCACTTGATCCTGTTACAAAATCCCACCTTAAGGCATCAATAACCATAATGACCAATTTCTTAGCCATTGGTTGATACAATGTATCTGTTTTTACTCTAGAAGATATATGCGATGAAAATGTAAAAAATATTATATAATATGTAATTTTGTCACCTATCCATATTTTCTTATATAATTATTGAGCTCACCTTGCATTTTTTATAAATTTTGGTATATTATCTTGTGTTGCTATAGTGTTATCATAATGTACCAAAGGAAAGAATCCATACAAAAATAATGCAATAGACAATGGTCCAATAAAAACTATATATAATAATATAAGAATATTCTTATCCATTTTTATTTTTTTTTCTTGATAATTAAAAAGAAAAGAAATGCATATCTTGAAAAAAATATTTTTATTTTACCAACTACAGCTATATTTTTGTAGATATAAACAAGAGCTTTATCAATAAACTATAATACAAAATAATTTTAGATTAATGTAATTAACACTATACTTCCCATTTCTGTTTTATTAAAATAATCAATTATAACGCATCAAAAATTCTATCTATTATATTATAAATTTAGTTTTTATGTCACTTTGTATTATTTTATACAACTTTAAGGTTAAATTATTGGAAGACAAAAAATACAATTTTTTAACTACATCTTTTCACAAGAAAATGTTACAATCTGTATTTTGGTATCACCATTCCCTTTGTACATACGGTCAAAAATCTTCGCAAATTATTTTGAATTACGTGAAAGATTTCCATATTTTACAAGAGCAATAAACTGATTTCTGTCTCTCACGATGGCGGCAAATTTTGAGGAAATAGAACTAGCGATGGGAATATGTTCTTCCTGCAATTGTTATAATCTTTCAAATCTGCAATATGTAGATAGTCCAATGTAATCGATTATAAAAACAAAAGGTCCACTGATATATAATTTTGACTACCGCTCGATAATATACATTCCTTATCCGGGGAAACCCAAAACACTCAGCAAGGGTTACCAACTAGCTACAAATTTGATACAATTGAATACAAATTTTTTTTTATAAATGAAGATTTCAAATTTGTTTTAACTTCATACCCTGCATCTTTTTCAACCGGTTCTTAACGAATTAAATATTTTACAAAAAAACGACAGCAATGTTTTACGGAAACAGTGGTAATTACAAATCACGCTGTATTTCGTTGATAAAACTCAAACACAATCCGATCAATAAATGGAAGCGGACTTTATTTTATCAAGTAGAATCCATTCCGTCAGCGAGCACCCGCAGCGACGCATTATGTTTCGGTAATCAGAATTTCAACGTAGCACAATTTCTTACTTTTCGTCTCTAAGTTGAAATATCACGTTGTTTAACTTAAATTTAATACATTGTAAGTATGTAAAATCAATGAAAATAATTTTTTTCGTTCCCAAAAATGCCCTCATTTCTACAAAAGTTTCTACTATTTTCTCATATGTAAAAATTTGTTGCCCTGATTAAATTAAGAGCTCTATGTTTAATTAAAAGTGTTTAATTAAGATTGGGAAAACAGATTTTTGGGTAAAAATATTTCAAAGAATATATACATAGTCCCAACATAATTCTAGAGGGAAATGGCATCAATAGAAGAGAGTTGGACAGAAGCAACTGATGGTTTGGACAGTGGTGTCTGTGATACATGGTTCACAAAACTGCAAGAAGCTTATTCAGAAGAGAAACGTACTTATCATAATCTAGATTCTCTTCATAATAAATTAAACTGTTATTATGAAATTAAGGATAATTTAAAGAATCCACAAGCTGTACTTCTTGCCCTATTCTTTCAGAAGTAAGTAGTAATGCGAAATGAGATAAAGAAACAGTATGAAATAAATTTTAATTGTGTTATAGCTTTGAATATGATCCCAAAGCTTTAGATGGTGAAAACAAGAGTTTGGAGCATTTCAATGCATTCGCAGATGAAGCAGAAATTCCAGCTGTATGTATTATATCAAATTATTATTCTCATCGGAAGATAAATTTTTTATATTGTTTTTCATGAAAATAGGATGCAGAATTAAGGGAAGAAACTTGTGAACTTTTGAAAGTAGCTGCAACACATAGTACTGATGCACATAAAATTGGTGGTGCCTTTGGGGGTGAAGATGCTCATTACTTTTTAGATTTGGATATGGCTATGCTAGGTTCTTCTCCAGAAAGTTATGCAGAATATAGAGAAAAAATACGTGGAGAATACAGTTTTCTTAGCGAACCAATGTATACTGCATTGCGTTTAAAGGTAATAACACATTGGCTACATTATACATAAAGATGTCTGTATTTGTTGTACATTATTCCTTAACTGTTTTTTATATAAATTAGGTATTGCAGAATTTTGTGCAAATTCCAAATATTTTTGCCACAAAGGAATTTCGAGACAAATATGAAGAGCAAGCACGACAAAATATTCAAAGTGAAGTTGAATTGTTATCTTAGGATAATTAATGAATTTTATGCATGGAAATACGTATCTTTGTAAAGTTTTTGTTACCAGATATGTTTATTAATTAATTGATGAAAGAAAAAAATAAGGTTTCAATTGACACATAATTCTTTCACTGTGTCAGTAGATTTTGATCTCTATATAGAGTAAAGTAGCACAAACCCATATTTTGTGTATTAGTGTTTAAAGTGATGTGTCTCAGATGACATCACACAAACGAATAATATATTATTAAGTGAGAAGTACATTCATGTCCTATATTTAGCACCGAAACTCTATCATTTATTCTGTTTTATTAAAGAACAATTCTTATATTGGAAAAAACTTTTTATAATTAAAGCAAATTATGAAATTCTTATCTTTAATGCTAAGTCTCAGGCATGAATGTATATCTTCAATTTATATTATATTATGATTATGTTTAAATGCTTTCATATTTAATTATCTTGTCTATGTTGCCGTTTATAACATATCTTTATCTCAAAAATAAAACATTGAGATTCATTTGGTAACACTCTTTACATCTAATATCTAAATAAATTTTGCAAATGTCGAAATATCTATTTGTTTCAGTTGTTGTTTGCAATTACTGTTAGAGGTGTACAACATTTGCAACTGATAGTGAGATATTTGTATGTATTTAGCAAAGGAAAAAAAATTTAATTATTGTTATATTGAACTATATATAAACTAAATGCATAATTATGAAATTGACATAGTGTAAAATGAAGCCAAAAATTTGTCAATTTATCATAATGCAATTTATTTTATTCGACTGATTAAATTTATGTAAGTCATTAAATATGTTATGACAAGATAAAAAGATCCACGAATATTTATATATTATTTAATATCTTGTGCCTATAGGTAACACGAGATAAAATTTAATTGCCCAATTAATTATGATAATTTTCTAATTTACTACTGTTAAGTACAATATTGTTAGGAACTACATTTTATTCCTTTGTCTTTGATTCAACCATTACTCTATGGGAGACAAAATGGGCAATTATTGGCAAAATTACTAATGTCATAATAAATAAATTTTTGAAATTGTAGATCGATTATTTAACCATATGTGCTAATTTCATTTAATTTCATAACATATAAGATATAATATATATTTTAATATGTGTGACTAACCTTGGTGGACTACCGGCGACTTCTTAGTTCGAATTATACATCATCCCAAAGAAATCCGTAGAAAATTTTTGCTCAATTCACATTACACGTATAATCACAACTAATATTTACAAAAAGAAGCTGCATTTGACACTAAATAATGCTACTCACATAATTTATCCTATTCGAATCACGCGGAACGAAACGATGTCAAAAGACGCGGTTTCTTAACTGCGCATAAGCGTTCAAATTTCGATAATTCAAATCAATTCGATATATCGCATTAATCGATATTGATTCGAACATTCTGCATACTTACTGCCTATTATTGGGAGTATTTCAAATCCCTATTATTGGGGCTATAAGAATAAATGTAAATATTCATAGACAGTTTAAAAATTTTATTAAATTTATTTTTAAATAAATATTCGATGTGAAAAATAATAACCTCAATATCATATTCGGTGTGAGAGAAATATATGTTCCTATTTCATAATATTCAACACACACCTTTATTGATTTTGTTGTAGCAGATAATTGATCAATCAACATTGTTTAGCTTGGTTTCTAAGTAACAATTCAAGATTGTTTTGTATAGGTGTCGGTGGTTCAAGTACTTCTAAGAAAAATTATTTAATTGTTTACGTGATTCATTATCAGATACAATATCTTAGGTGTAGCTATATTTCTTATTATATATTTCATTTAATATACCACTCTTTTCTAAGTAAACATGGACAATCAATTAATTAGTGAAAATGAACGCGAGGTAAGAAAAATCATAATTTTATTACATTCTTTTACATCATCTAAATAAATTGTCACATAATTAAACATTTTTAGAATTCTTTTATTTTTGACTTTTTTAATAATTTACTATAATTTGTGTAAATTTTGTTTGTTATTCAGTAGCATTTTTCCTTTGTATTTCCTTTAAATTTTCACATCTTTATTTTTAAAAGTAATACAATTTATTTCTATTAAATACTAATAAAATAAATTCGATTGTTGATATTTTATTCAACGATATATGTAACATAATTTCATCAATTTCCAATTTCATTTCCTTGATTACATTTTTGCATTTATATATACAAACAAGGTAAAATTAGCTCTTGTCATAAGAAGTAAAGTTACTGACTTCATAAATTTGTGGAACACTTTACTAAATCGATAACACCTTTGTTTGCTTCGATTTTTTTATTTTTATAGGCGTTAAAGTATCAGAATACTTATCGTTTGACAGCTTATAATCCGTTTAAAGTAGATCCAGTGGATAAGATTATAAAGATGACAATGATTACTAAATTAGAAGATATTTCTTATGATGCTGTGGAGTGCTTGAAAGTTTGCGAGTCAGTGGCTAGTGCTATCAGAGACAAAATCAAGAACTTGAACTTCGATAGGTAGTTATTTTTTCATTTTTAATACAATTATTACTCTCGTGTACATTGTTTCAACGTATCCTAAGTCATAATTTTATTTAATCATATTTATTTCTAGGTATAAAATCGTGGTCAGTGTAACTATCATAGAGAAAGCAAATCAGTCTATTCAATCAGCAATGGGATTTCTTTGGGATGCAGAAAAAGACAATTATTCCACATTTTCGTACGAGGCTCGAACATTTCACGCCTATTGCTGTGTATTTGGGCTTTATTACGAATAAATGTCACTATTTCCTCTTTATAAATTCTTTTTTCTTATTTCGCGCTCTATTATTTATGTTAATGAGTATTATTGCGTAAAACATTTAGTCGATGATTTGCTGATTTTGATCAAATCACACGTTTCACGTGTGCTACCGACGTCAATGGAGACAAGATTTCTGGGGATGATAACGGGAAATATCAAGAACATATAATAGTAATAATAATCAACGCGTGATTTAAACTATAGCATGATCTAAACACATATTCGTTTATCTTTTCTGATTATTTCTCGCGTGAAAGTTATTTCCATAATTTCTTTTTATCCCGATCATTCGATCATTTACTTATTTTCCAGTACGTTTGTTTTCTTCGTTATTATAGACAGTGAAACCAATGATTTTTATTCTAGCTCGTTATTATTACACCTCTGGAACTGTATTCTGGTTATGCAGATTACCATTTATTGTTTTATCTCAATACACACGTTCGATTTTAACTTCACGTTTGTATCGCGTGCTGCTTATCAGGAACTTTAAGATACGTACTAAATAATATAAGATTTTTAGAAGATAATAATCACAGCATATAAGAAATTCTTCGTATTGCAATTCCTAGTAAATTAAATAATATACTTATATACTTCACATGTAATATTTTAATATAATACATTCCATGTTTAATTCTGCCATATTAAATAACTAAATAACATAAGATTTTTAGAAGATAATAATTACAGCATATAAGAAATTCTTCGTATTGCATTTCCTAGTAAATTAAATAATATACTTATATACTTCACACGTAATATTTTAATATAATACATTCCATGTTTAATTCTGCCATATTAAATAATTAAATAACATAAGATTTTCAGAAGATAATAATCACAGCATGTGAGAAATATCTCGTATTGCAATTTCTAGTAAGTTAAATGACATACTTATATACTTTATATGTAATATTTTAATGTAATACATTCCATGTTTAATTCTGCCATATTAAAGAAATGAAAATTCTTCTATTTATTTATTGTATTACAAAATCTCTGTACACGGATGAAAAAGAAACGCAGTCGTATTCCATGTACCAAGTATACCCAGATTATAACAAATTTTGCACAGATCTAATAAACATAATAAATTAACCGTTACCCTACTCCAATGGATCTGCTCTAATTAATATTATTACTGACAAGAATATAATTTTCCATTTCAATATTAATCGAGATAAATCATTGTTCCTAGCAAATAAATCATATTTCCAATGATCAGGAAGTCTCCAGATTTGTTCTTCAGAATACAATCTAACAAGCTGATCTTGCCGGACTCCATGAAGAACCGGTTATCGAAAATGTTTCGACCTTCTGTTTAACTTTATGCAAGCTTTTTTTGTCCCATTCACACAGACAAATAAACCATACCTTTTTTTCTATATACCAGACAATATCCATTCTAATGTACGTTCGAAAATATTCAATCTTCCCAAGTTTCGAAGCCTGAGGCTACTGATACGACGTAGGCTTGGCAGTTCCTTCCTATAAAAGCGGAGAACGTACAGTTAATAATATTTCTATCGCTCAATCGCCGTACGTGAGTAACAGTGCTCAAACATTCGTTGAAACGATCAGTCGTATGTTCCGTCCCGTGACACGGATTGCATATTTCATAAATTCTGCTACAAAGTAATTTCGTCGAGTCTTATTTTCAATTGAATACATCCTTATTCTTTGTCGGGTAATACCTCTCTCGTGTAACGACTTCACGTATTTACGTTCTCTTTGTCAATCACGACTGTGTATCTCCTGAATTACTACCGTACCACCTGTCACTTTGTTTCCAATTGCAAAAGAGAAAGAAGTATTTAGCAGAAAAATGTCGAGCGTGAAAATTTTTACGATATTATGTGCTGTTATTTGTTTCACGAATCAATTAGCCTTTAGCCATGTTATACCCGATTATTGTTACTCCGATGACAATTATCCGTATCGGTTTGCTGGCACGAAAACAGCTTATGAGATCGAGCATGATTTGATTAAGGATACCGCTATACCGGGTAAGTGAGAGATTCACTGTGATTATTTACAGAATAATTTATTATCACGTATCAAGTATAGTAAATATTACAATATTTGAAATATTTTTGTAGACTGCAAACCGATACAAATTTGGATGCTAATTAGACATGGCACTCGTTACCCTGGGAAACATGAGATTCGGGACATGAAACACAAATTGCCAAAGCTTCAACGAAAGATCATCGAGAACCATGAAAACGGAAGTAAGTAAAATTTCTTTATCGATAGTGATCTTATCACGATGATTTCTCACTTCTCAACGATCTTCTATATTTATTGCTAGACGGTAGCCTGTGCCAGAAAGACTTGGAGAAGCTGAAATCGTGGAAATTGAATCCAGATCTTTCAGTGGAGAAGTGGAAGTACTTAACGAAGCAAGGCGAAGAAGATTTATCATCGCTTGGTGAACGGTTCAAAAATTATTTCCCAGAAATTTTCCAATCTTCTTCGGCTGACGTTTCGAAGACGAAATACAAGGTAAGTTCCCGAAAAGTAATATCCACCGATTTCGATAACAGCTCGCTCGTTTCGCTTTCATCCTGTGCAGTTTAGATCAACAGACCTTCAACGAACAATAGCTAGCATGGAAAATTTCATTACCGGTCTCTTTGGCCGTGACTATGTGTCTATCGATACCGAAATAGTACCAGCCGCTGAAGACACTTTATTGAAGGTTGGTAAAAATATTAACCATCGACTATTAAGGCAATTCTCGATTCTGACATGGAGTATACCTTATTCTCAGCTGTATAAAATATGTAAGCGATGGACGGAACAAATGGGCAATTCATCGACCAATGCTGAAGTTAAAGAGTTAATAAATGGCCCGCTATTCAGGCAAATAATCGACGACATTAGTCAGCGACTCGGCTTTCCAAATAGCCTTTCATTAGGTATAAAATGATTTTCGACAAGACTCGAAATAAATTTATTTCTCGTTGATCCAAGTCCACTTAGTCGACGAGGCTCTTACTTGCTAGCTTAATTAATCAATTTCACTTAGACGATGCTGTAATTATGTACACTTCGTGCGTCTTCGAGAATGCCTGGTACATAAACGAAAAGTCTCCCTGGTGTGCAGCTTTCACCAAAGATGAACTTCAATTGTTCGAGTACGAGGAAGATCTGTATTACTACTATCACTCTAGTTACGGTCAAGAAATGAGCAGTGCTGTCGGATGTCCACCCTTGAAGGACATGTTTACTCGTTTCGCGTAAGTGTTTAATGCACCTACGGTGATTAATCGATGCGAATGTAATCGATACCGTGCTACTTTTCGATCCCGACACTTTAGAAAATTGGAGAACGGGACGTCGAGCGACGAGCCGCAGGGTGTTTTCTATTTTACCCATAGTTCAGCGCTGCAATTGTTCCTCACATCGATGGGAATCGCGAAGGACGCGGTACCTTTGACAGCTTCGAATTTTGACAGCATGGGGAACAGGAAATGGAGCACCTCTCATCTGGCACCCTTCGCTGCCAATCTCGCGGCCATTTTCTACGAGTACGTATACGATCACCTTGACCTTCGTTTCAGCTATTCAGATTGGTTTACACGTTTCTTGCAGGTGTAATTCTTCGTACAAAGTGAGGTTTTATTTAAACGAGAGACCTCTGGAATACGAAGGCTGTCAAATGGGCGTGTGCGATTGGGACTATCTGAAGGAACAGATCGGACCCAATGCTTTCAATTGCAACGCTGATTTTTGTTCGAAATGACAGGAATGAGGTAGAATAGTTGTTTCGAGCAATCGCGTTAATGGCTGAACGTTACGTAAACGAAAACAATGAAATAAGGTTATGGCAAGAGCGATTCTGTTGAAGTGATTACGAACCATATCGGATGTGCTTTTGTCAGGGATCGTGTGGAAGAAGTTACAGTCTGACAACTTGTACGGTGATGTTCGAAGCAACGAAGCTAGACGACCTTATATTACTGTCACATAAGCTGGCGCGATGAGCGATACGTTCATACGTTACGACGCCTTCGAATTTCAGCGTTCACGTTTCCTCGGTTATCGTCGTTCAAACTTTCGCGTAATATTTCTCCACTTCGAATTAACCGTGTTTATTACCATTCAATCGTATTTTATTATTTTATCATTTTATTCCGTTTTAACTCGCGATTGAAAATTCATTAACGCAATCATCGGAAGATACAAATGTGATTTATGTACCGTATAAAATCGGAATATTAAGATTAACGTATCCGTATTTCAATATGCATTTTACACATATTGCTCAAGTTTAATAAATTACGAGCTACTCGTTCCCACGCTGTTTTATAATTCACCGTGGGTGTTTTAACGAAGTTTCGATCGTTAATATTATCCTGTACAATGCGATTATCTTTTCAGTTCCACAGTCTATTATACGGTTTTAACAGAGTGCAAAATGTATAGACTGTACAGATACGAAGCAACGAAGCTTGACGACCTTATGTCAGTGGCACCTGAACTACCGTGACCGATGCTGGTCGCTGTAGGGGTGTGTGCTGAAACGAATATTGTTGTACGTTAATCCACAACTTCAAATCCTCCCTTAAAAATACACAAATATTTCCAGAAAATTGATCTAAATTTCCCAAATATTCCTCTATTTCTCAGAGCCCTAAATGGATCCTGAGAAAATAAATCTCTGACGACAAGATTCGATTTTTAAATTTCATCATGTATTTTCATATGAAATTTGTAATACGTAAAATATGCGCTAAATGCGATTTAAAAATGAAATAATGCATTTAAAAGATCGCAGTTATTTGCACGTAGTTATATAAACGTATGGTTGGACTCTCGAAGGAAAGAATATTGCTCGCATAACAGGGTGTTTTAACGCAACTTAGGGGGTTCTTGTTTCCCTGGTTTCTTATCGATCGCTCGTGCTCAAAGTGACGAACCTTCACGATTTTATAGAACGCACGAAACTCCACGTTGGGCCAGCGAAGGATCAAAGGCTACAAACCGTAATACACTATTCGCGGGGTCTATCGCTGAAACTATACGACTTTTACACAGTATACGCTAGGAGCAACGAAGCTCGACGACCTTACGGCAGTGCCACACGAGCTGCCGCCTCGAAAGGTGGTCGCGATCGGCATACAAACAACGAGTACGCGCATTCGACGCTCT